GCCCTGCGTCATCAAAGAAAGCCTGGGGCAAAGGGTAAAGCTTAGTCGGTTGCGACCCGCCACCATACCAGCCAAGCTCAACGCCATAATCTAGCAGGCAGTTGGGTGCCTGACCAGTTGTTCCCGATCTGACCATGCTATAGGCTAAATCACATGGACTTTTGTGGCTGAAGCATGCGATTCCCTTGAGTGCCCGTTGGTATACGCCGTAAAAGCGCCGTTGATCTGCTCGAATGGGCGCAATGCTGCATAAATTCCTGACACAATTTGGATACCTTCTCACTCTCGACCACAACCTGAGTCTCTCCCTGAAAGTCTTCACTGTAGAATATGCATGACGTGCAAATCGATCAAGTGCATCGAATTACTCAGGGTACATGACCTCATAGTTGCTGATCTGCCGAGGCACTAAACGAGCCTCCCGAACCAGAAGTGTGGCCAAACGCATCACAGACTGGATGACCAACAAACCAGGGAGCAAGCTCTGCCGGATATCCGATTGCGCCTCGATGTGGTTTGTTAGCGGGAGGCATTGCAATCGCTATGAATCACTACCATGGAACCTCGTCATTGGTGCGCAAATGTGCTCTGGGCATACGGCGCGGAAACAACGAGCGCCAAGAACGCAATCTTGGGTGTGTGGGACTGCACGCATCAATCTGCGCGAACGATAACAATGAATGTTGTGTCTTGCATGTATGGATCTCGAAGCGCATGGTGCTTTGTTGGCACAACCCGATATTGACAATGGGCAGCATCGTGGCAGGATTGACGACAGGACCAGAGTAAAAGGCTTGGCAATTGTGACGGAGTATCATCGTACTGCGGTGCAGGACGCCTAAACGGTAAACGATGCTTCGTGATACTTGGATAATGGCCGCACCACATGCTCCATTCCTCCGCTGGCCTGCTTCTTCAGTAAAGCTCTTTGTTGTCCGTCGAGCGCCTGGTCCTCATTGTGAACAATTTCTACGATATAATTGTTGATTTGTTCGCGCGACCCTACATGTTGTTACTGCACATGTGAATGGAGTTTCCGCATCTCGAGCCGTTGATGGGCCACCGATAGTCGTAGGGCTATGTATACGCCGGTCCCTTGGTCTGGGTTCAGCGGTGGCGCAGCCAGGGCACTTGGTAGGCCTGGTACTTTGTGACCGTATCTGCGGGCAACAAGGCTGATGTGGCGCTATGTCTCTCAGTCGCCGGGCTTTGCGCAGCAGAAATGGTCTACTAGGGCTATCATCGTGCTTGCGGTGGTGGTTCAGCGGGGCCTCCATCCGACACTGTCTGGTATTTCCTGTATTCCTGCTCGAGTTCTCTCTGCATCTCGAAGTCGGCCTGTCGTTCGCGCTTAACTCGTTGCTGTTCGAAGTCCCGGATGACACCCATATGCATTGCCTGATATAAGTTAGATATTTCCTTGACCATGTCCGTTCCGCAGTACTCACGGCTTTGTCGTTCCTCTGCGACCAATGCACAAATGCTACGGTACCGATTGCGGTGACGCAGGTAGTCGCCAGTGTGATCTGCGACGCTCGAGACATGGCGGGGACCGTGGAGTAGAGGCGAGGTTGGGGACGAGGCCTTGAGTAAAGTTGGAGCGGGTTCTCTGCGGGTGGGAGCTCGGGCCTTGGAGCTCCTTCCGCCAAGTCTACGGCTGCATCGTGCCTCTCCGCAACTCTACCCTGTGACAACCAACATCCCCGCAAATCAGCACTCAAGATGGTGAGGACATCAATAGCAGGATACCGGAGCGAACACTGACAGCTGCAGTCCGCCCAAAACTCCGCGGGAATCCAGACCCTGCTCGATGTAAGGCAGCGCAACCCACTACAACCTCCGCATAGCTCACACCGCACCTAGGCCGAGCGCGAAGCTCAGAAGATTGTCCAGCAAGGTATTTCAGCACACAAGCTTGTCTGTTCGGGTAGTCGCTAACCGCTCACCAGCAAGAGAATGTAAACAACGCCCGACGTACCCAGCCGCATCAACACTCTAACCGACCCAGACCGTACGAAGCGAGTAAAGGACGCCCGAAACGAAGCACAGAAGGAGATCGAGGACTACAGGAAAGAGAAGGAGTCCGAATACCAGGAGTTCGAGAAGAAGGTGCGTTGGCCGAGACGACCTACTATACGCGTAACGAAGATGGGAGACTAACTAGGGCGCAGCACAGCTCAGGCAACCAGAAGGCTGAAGAGGACGCGAAGAAGGATACAGATGCCAAGGTCAAGGAGATTGACGAGATTGGCAACAAGTCTGGCAGCAAGGTCGTCGACCAGCTCATCGAGGCCGTCGTAAACGCGCACCCCAAGCCACCGGGCAAGCAGGACTAGAGCACCAACACGGGGGATAGGACGAAGCGTAGATTCAGACTACTGCGATGCTGTTGAGGAGACATATGAAGAAGAGCGCTCCTTGTACATGATCTTTGACGGGCCCAAGACAGTCAAGGTCGATCTATCGGCCTCAAACATACCAACAATAGACGATATGCTGCGAGTTTGGTGAATGTATTACAGTTCAACATGCCTTTTTCTTCTAGGCTTAATAGTCGAGTTGATGTTTATCGTGAAATACATTCCAGTCTTCCAAGGTCACCAACCCGATACTCTTGTATATCGCATACAACTGCATTGGTGACGTCCTAGAAGTATGCATCTGTACTGTGTTCTTTACCTCGCAGGTATAAATAGCAGACGAAATGCTTATATCTTCCGTTGTTGCTGCACCTCTCTACTCGTTGTGGACCCTGGCCCACGTTCGTCCTAGCTTCCCGAGGGCCTACGTCACTGCTGTGGAACTTTATCGCTCGAGCATCAACGCGCCCCCAAACTGCAATACAATGCGCTGCACCCAATGATACGAATCTGTGCTCGAGCGACCATTCGCTCGCCTGTATACAGAATCACATCATGTACACTCTCACCAATAAATTCGACACGCCAATTCAGCAGCTCGCAATGTCGCAAAGAAGACCCGCGCATCTCCGACTTTGGTCGCGAGATTGTAGATGAGTTTGCCGTAATGCGCGAGAAATATGGTATGCCCATGCCACTATCAAACTCAACTTCTGGAAATAGCTAACGAAAAGTAGATGCACCTGTATGTGCTTTCGTCCTTCGCACATCGCACCCCTGACCCTTCCAGAAACACACCATAGTTCTTGCACACGGTTTGCTAGGCTTCGACGAACTACGGCTCGCAGGACAGTTCATACCTGGCATACAATACTGGCGTGGCATCACAGATGCGCTGGCGCACAAGGGCATCGAGGTTATCGTGGCTGCGGTCCCAGCCAGTGGCAGTATCGAGGCGCGCTCTGCGAAACTGGCGGAGAGCATTGCGCTCAAAGCGAAGGGAAAGCAGGTCAACATTATCGCGTGAGCTGAATTGACCCAATGAGATGCTGCATCGCAGACCACTAACAATTCATAGGCATAGCATGGTATTGACACATTGACATGATACAATAATGAGTGACTGACCTCTACTTAGGGGTAATCAGTACCTACACCCACGCAGTGCAGTTGCTAAATACACGTAGGGGTCTCGACTCACGATACATGATCAGCCAGCTCCGGCCGACTGACTTCAAGATTCTCTCTTTGACCACCATAGCCACTCCACACAGAGGTTCTGCTTTTGCAGATTACATGTTCGAGACGATCGGTCGTACGTCAGTGATACTTCTTGAATGCTTCTACTAAACCATTTCTAGCACGCAGAATCAAACGCGTCTACAGTGTTATGGAGTACTTCGGTCTTGAAACTGGCGCCTTCTCCCAACTCACGCAAGAGTACATGAAGAATAACTTCAATCCCAAGACGCCAGACATACCTGATGTCAAGTATTACTCATATGGCGCATCTCTCGAACCCACTCGATGGTCCGTCTTTGCGCCTTCCCACAGTATCGTCAAGGCAAAGGAGGGCATCAACGATGGCCTGGTCAGGTGCGTGGACGGCTGGCGTTTGGTACGCTTAATGACAACTAACCACGTTGATAGCGTCGAGTCGAGTCGGTGGGGCGACTACAAAGGCACCTTGATTGGTGTAAGCCATCTCGACCTGATCAACTGGACGAACCGGCTGAAGTGGTTCTTTTGGGAGCTTACGGGCAGCAAGCGCAAGTATGGAAGCAACGCTCACAACGACTGCTGAACTTGAGCTGACCATGATGTAGCTTCAATGCCATTGCATTCTATCTTGACATATGCGGTCAGTAGCTCTGGTCCAAACTTTCGTGACAGATCACTGACACAGATCACAGATATGCTGGCCAAAGAAGATCTGTGAACTTGCCAGATGCACACCAACAAGTCGCAATTGTGGATGCGTTCTGGTCCTCCTGTATCTGACGTCTGAGCAAGCTTGTGCGTCGTCGTGGAATTCAGCTCCGCCCTTTGATAGAAGGCTATTGATTAATGAGCCTCAGCTGAGGAAGCGTTGCGCCCAGTCACACGACGCGATGCTCATGTAAGACAGGGGTCAGCTTCAGCCCGGAAGTGCGGCTATGGCTGTGGCTGTGTCCGGCACATTGTCCGAAATGGGCACATGGCATGCCGAATATGTACACTCAAAGTTTAAGTAAATACGCAAAAAGATACTCTCTTCAAGGTACAACCTTGAGCGTTGCCGCAGAAGCCGTGCAAGAGAGTGGTTTGGGTGATTATTGCGTTGAAAAGCCTTCGCGTTGGGTTATGACGTTGGGGACGGACCCTGGTCAGGCAGAAGGAACCCCGCGGGCATCCGTTCTGGAGATGCCCAGCCCGCATCGCAAACACTCCCACGACATGACACGCGTTCCCCAGGCTTAGCCGCTGCATCACCAACTGACTTCATGCGCTAAATTGATCGTCTGCTCCCCAGCTACAACCTTTATCCTTGACATGTCGGTTCACTTCTACAAGCTTCGCGACTACCCGTTTACTTAGCCACCCGGTGCCTGGAAGCAACATTGAAATACTGGCCACTAATCCTGAACGCGAACCTTCAAGATGATCGTCAACATAGTGCTCGAGAACCCTCACGAGCACTACACCAATCTCGACGTCATCCAAGGCAGAGTCCATCTGCGGGTGCCGAATCCGACCAACATTAGCAGCATTATCGTGAAGCTAGAGGGCGAAAGCAGGACGCGACTGCTGGCACCCATACACCCAAACAGACCAGACAAACAGCGACCAGTGCTGGAAGTCCACAAGTTCCTGTACAAGACACAGGTGGTGTGGCCGACAAATGTGCGCCCCGAAGATGTCGCCCAGAATCCGAAGGCAGCCTTCACCATCAACGCCGGGTCCTTTGAGTACCCGTTCCAGTTCAAGGTACAACGCGCAATACACGTCAACATATCGCATATAGCTAACAACCCTCTCAGCTTCCTCTCAATACGCAATGCCAGCAGACGAATAACCCCATCTCCAACGTTTCCTTTTCGAACGCGATACCCGAATTCGCAAAGACTCCGACACAACACGTAAAGGCGACACTACCTCCTACACTGGGTGGATTTCCGGGGGAGGCAGAGATACGATACTTTGTCAAGGTCACAGTAAACAGACCGCAGTTCTTCAAGGAGAATCCCAGGGCAATTGCGAACTTCAATTTCCTTCCGATTGAACCTCCGAGACCCGACAAGACAGACGGCGAGGCGTATGCGAGGCGACAACATGAGTTCCTTGAGAATGCTCCCAGTGTAGCGGCAGGCAAACGAATGAGCTTCTTTGATAGAAAGAACTCGACAGGAAGTGCTCCGCCATCACCGACGACAGGCAGTGTGCCACCTCGGATAGCCATTGATGCCCGATTGCCTAATCCTGCCATTCTCACTAGCAACCAAGACTTACCGCTGAGACTACTTGTGAAGAACGTCAGCGCGCGCACAAAGAACATATATCTGCAGATGCTCCAGATTGAGCTGATAGGGTATACCAAGGTACGCGCGCATGAGGTGTCACGGACAGAGTCGAACAGCTGGATTCTGTGCTCTTTCAGTAACATGGCCATTCCCATTGGAAGTCCTTCTGACCCTCTGGATACGGAAGTGCCCATTAATGCCGAGTACTGGTCTGGGAAGCCGGTACCCAATACGGTGCCACCCACCTTCACGTCCTGCAACCTCGCGCGTTTCTACGAGTTGGAGATACGTGTTGGCGTTGGCTATGGGAGCTACAAGCACGGTGAAGATCAGCTCATTGTCTTACCCCTCAGACTACCAGTCAAGGTCTACTCGGGCATCGCGCCACCCAAAGCACTCCTGGAAGGTGGTTTCCCTGCAGACAAACCCACCACACTTGCCCCACCGCCCCAAGCAGCTGCTCACACACCAACAACGCCAACACAAGGAGGTTTCAACGCATCTAACGCGTCTTTTGGGCAGCCAGTACAGCCCCAGCATGCTCCCGCTTATGACGATGCGCCGCCGAGCTACGAGGACGCGATTGGACAGGATCTTCCCCCGATCAATGGGTACAGAGGTAGTTACCAGCCCCCTCCTGCACCCGAAGGCGCGCCTAGGTTTTCCGACGAAAAGAGACGATGAAGACGTATACTACGCCTATGTTCGTTTCTACAGCCTGAAGTCTAGCTGCTATGCACCCTGAGGATTACACTACGTGTTTGTCGGTACATCAACGCGGATCACAGCCAAGACCTTCTTCCATGGACACCAATGATGGTTACGACCTGAGAGGAAACGAACTCCTCTGTAAACGTCAAGGAACAGGGATATGCCGTGGATCAGCACCCTGGACGCGTCGAGAAGTGGCGATATGGTAGGGAATGAGCGAGTCTAGGCGGGCGACATGCGACCAAGAAGAACCTTTGGGCCGCAGCGAAGGGCCTAAGAAGCATGCGTGCTGCAACCGAGGTGGGGGCATGCAGCAGTTCTATGGCGGAGGTTGATCTCTATCTACCCAGTAATCACCCTTGCTAATAGGTTTTCTGTAGTTGTCGGCGGAGCAATCTGAAACAGTATATTGTAGTATGGTGTATGTCGCAATCTTTTCCTCGTTACAGTTGGCTGTAATACCAAATCACTATGTAGCTCAATGTAATCATTCAAAACGCTTGTACGTCTAGACGACATTCTTGGATAGATGTGTTCAGGTGCGGGGCATACCGTGTGACCGGTGAAGCTACACGGCAGATCGGTGGAGAGCGGCAGAATGGCACTATGCAAGCCATGCCTGTCACCAGCCATCAAGTGAGGCGTGTGAGGCATTAACGCGGTCATGGTGTGCCACTGGTAGATGTTTGCGACCGCTAGCTTTGTTGTGGTTGGGAGCTTTGCGCAGACGCGTCAGTGGGAGCAACATTGCGAACGCGCTGTAGGTATCGGATGTACCAAAACCACAAACAAAGACACTGCCGCCCACTCCAAAGGCTGTATCGTGCATTCGACGCGATACAATGTGGTCACGATACTCTGATGGTGTTGACACTGAGTGACTGCCTTAGCCACAGACGCGCCTTCCGGCTAGCTATCGATAGCTTGGTCCAAAACAGCCTTCACCTTCAAAACAGACGCGCATAGCCGGCACCAATGCAAGCACGGCATTTGTTGTTGTTGTGGTCCTCGAATCGCGACTCTCCAGAGCAACGTCCAGAGCCCACTGTGCGCACTAACAGACGCGTCGTGCCTGACTTACGGGATGAGTAACAGCCCTGCACGCGACGGGATCGCTGACCGCCAGTCGTGACTGTTTAGCCACAGCTTCCAAGACCCGGATGCAGACACGATGCAAGACTAATGCAAGAGCCGCATACACTATCCCGTGCATGCTTCGAACCGGTTGGTCAGATTGCGTGAAACGTTTCAAGCCGGCTCCAGGCTGCAGCCCCACTCGACCACTTGGTCGAATCGTCGCGTCTAACACCATATATACACGTCTACCCACCGCGAGATGGTCGCGTTTTCTGATCAATTCTTCGGCTGCTTTGCGTTAAGAGTTGGGAATCCGGTGGCGGGCTCGTTGGCATCTAGGGGAACGACCTTTGACTCACACCTGCAGCTCACGTGTAGTAGCGTCTGGCCCCGCTTTGCAACCATGCACCGCGCTGTGGTAAATACAGCTGGGGACGAGGTCGTGGCTGGTCCCGTCAGATTCTCTGTTTCCTGAGGTTTCGCTCTTACTCTTTCGAATGCTGGATGTTTGAAACGACTTTTACGATTTACTTGAGATTTACCACGAGATTGATACCTTGAAGAATAAACGACCTTTTTACGAACCAACACTATTGCATGCGACCCACTCGACTTCTACAACATGTACTCACAGCGATCGTCGCCACCGCCACTGAAGCGCTCACATTCGGGTGAGAGCCAGAACAGCTATGCCAGCGCTGCGACAACAGTATCGCGCGCAAGCTCCAAGTTACTGTTTGGAGAGATCCCATTGACACCTGCGACGACAGTAGATGGACGATGTAAGTACCCCGTCGCAATGCGCGCGCACTCATTCTAACGTCATGAAGCGATTCGTTCCAATGGCTCCATCTGCAACCTGGTCCTCTCCACAAGCTCAGTCTTCTTGCGCTTCTGGTTAAACGACTCTTGCCGCGACAACGTACTGGATCACATGGAAACTGAGGACCTATCCAATTTCCGCCTTGTATGCCATGACTTTTCATCGAAAGCCGCGCCACGACTCTTTGAGAAGATGACCGTGACCTTCAAGACATCGACCTTTTCTAAGCCAGCGCGCATCGAAGCGCTATCGAGGATAGGCCGTCACGTCAAGACCTTTACCTTCCACATGCCACATGGCCCAGAGACCTGCTTGCCACCCATCATCGACCCGTGCACTGGCACGGAGAAGCAGTTCATCTACGAGCCCCAAGTCCAGACACCGCAACATGGACCGGCCAAAGACAAGGCACCCAAGTACGGCAGCTGGGAGATGCAGGACTTGCTCATCAAACAGTACCCACCACTGTTCCATGCCGCGACCAATGTCCCTGCATTTTGCGCCGCTTTCTCTGAACTGATCAACCTCACGCATCTCAAGGTCTCATGTCCGGGATCTACTGGCTCACTTCGACACCGACGAGGTGTAGTCGACTATGCGCTCATCTCTCTCCGCATCGCCATTGAGCGCGCTCCATTGTACAGCCTCTCTGCTCTTTCCCTCCACCCCATCCACCCTGGTGGCCTATTATACCTCCACCCCATGCACGGCTTCGGCAGCACACCATCCTCAGCCAAGCGCTGGGGTCAAATCCGTCGCCTCTCAATCTGCATGGAAAGCATACCCTTCAACTCAAGCTCATCGCGCACCCGCGCCCAATCTCTAGAACACCTCCGCATCCTACATGCCTACCTCGCCACACTCTCACGCGGCCTAACGCGTGTCTTCTTCCGCTGGAAAGGCGAGCGAGGCCCTTCACCCCTCTCACTTGACCGTGAACCTTGCATGCTTCCCAGCCGAGAGGAGTCCACCCACCCCTCTCTCCGCGGCCAAACCAATGGTCCCCGCCCCCTGAAGTTCCCTCGCCTCCGTGTCATGGAACTGGAAAACGCGCTCATGGACTCCGCGCAAATCAGCGACTTCATCACAAAGCACAAGCGCTCCCTCCGCGAGTTCAACTTTGAAGACGTCAAACTGCGCGAGGGCGACTGGGATCTCGCGCTTGAACCTCTGACTACCATCTCTGGAAGCGATCGATGGAAGCAGTACCAAGAAGAGGTCATGGATGTTCCCATTATGCTCTCGCCTATTGATGCCGAGCCGCGGGTCATGGGCCCGTTGCTTGAGGAGGTCGAACAGGCCATCGAAGAGGTTAGTGGAAAGGAGAGGAGAGAACATGCACTGTCGAGGTGGTTGGGTAGACCGCGACAGTCGAATAAGAAAGATAGCTTCTGGGGTGGAGGCAAGAGGTTCCTGCATCTTTCGAGCTGGAAAGGCAGCTCGCCTGTCATGGTGAGGTAAGGTGGCTGCGTGCGTGTTTTTCTGGGTTCTTGTCTGGTACTAGGGAGTTTTGCTGTGGTACGTCACGGTTGATACCCCTCGGGCATGGTTTACGGCGTCTGCTTTCTGTCTTTATCGTTCGTGTTGTTGGGCTTCGGATAACGGCCTCTCATGTCCTCTCTTTTCGTCTCTCCTTTGTCTTGTTTTCCTCACGCTCTTTACGACTCAACGTCTCTACGGCCTTTACGACTACTCCGAAAATCACGTTTGCGCATAGTTACGATGGTATGAGTAGAATAGTATGACCTTACGATCATTCAATGACATTTCCTTCTGGTCCTTACTTTATGTTTGCGCATCACATCGATTCAGCGTAATGCGGAAGTCTACTTTGAGATGAACCGACTCCAGGCTGTGCTCGTCTATTGCGGTACCTGCAAGGCGTCCGCACACTTGTTTACAGGCCATGTCCGCGCCTAAAGCTGAATGTATATAGCACATGTACAAGTGATAGTAGTTCGCATCCATTCAGTCGTTGGGCACCCATGCATTAGAAACGCGGTTATTGAAGCAAACTCCGAGTGTTGCGTAACACCCGCTTGAATTGGTATACATATTCGCCTCCAGCCTCGCATCTATAGCTTAGCCTTGTTCTGCACCTTCTTGAAGATAGGCTCCAGCTTCGTCGCGCTCATAACGTTTCCCTTGACCTTCAACTTCCCGCTCATAAACAGCTTCTGAGCATTCGCGTTGCCGGCCGCAAGCTTGCCAAAGTCCTCGTCGCTCAGCACCAATGTGGCGGTAGCCTTCTTGCCAGCCGGGGCGGGACCCTTGCCGACTGTGCCGGTCTCCTTGAGATCAAGGTACCATGTTTCTTGTGTGCCGGCCTTGTTTTTGAGTGTGAAAGCGAAGATGGCCTTGCCGTTCTTGATGGCGTCTTTGCGGTCGGCGTCGGAAGCGGAAAGGGCTTGCGCAATCTCGTCGAAGGCGGCGGAGGCGGGGAATTCGTCTAGAAGTGTGTTAGTTACACTATTCTGAGATTTCATAGGAGGTTTCGTAGGGTCGGCATGTGCATACCGTTCTTGAGAGACATGTTGGCGATGTGTTGCTAGTGGTGATGCGCGTTCGGGGGAGGTAGAGACTGATGGCGATGATAGCTAGGCGGAAGAGGTTTGTGGAGCCGGAATCGCGAGTGCAGAACAGTCTGGGGTATATAAGAGCTTCGGAGGCTTGTGACAGCAGTGATGATGTATGCAGCTGCGAATCTGGGGAAGCATGTGAATGAGTGAGTGGGCCGAGACCCTTGAAACGATCATGCCGAGGCATAACCGCTTCTGGATGGAGCACGTGGACTAGTTCTTCGGCAGGCTCGCATCTCTTTCCTCAAATTACTTCAAAGTTTAACGATCCCTAGCAGCGGACAACACCTTCGAGTGGCTGGGAAGTACCTTTGAACGTATTCGCAGCGGCTTACTTTGTTGCATTTCGTCGCACTATTGCAATCAATCTGTGTTTCCAAGAAGTACCCATTGCTACGACCGTGATAGTTCTGGACGCTGGCGAGGTAGTTGCGGCGAATATTGAGACCGAGCAGCTTGCGGTGCATCAACTTTTGCATCTGATTTGAATAATGCTGTTGCATCATAAGGTCGGGACGGTTGCGCGTTATTGCGTCGCTGCCAAGCTGAGCACGTGATGACGTGGAACAACGCGCGCGCGTCTCAGCTCGACGCGTTTCCGTTCTCATCTCATCTCACCTGCATCACTCCGTCTACCCATATTCAGGCTCAGCTCTGGAGCACACACTTGCACTATGAAAAATGATTTACACAAGACATTCGGCGAAATCTTCAATGGCGACATCGCTGCTTTCCGCAAGCAATTGCTAGAGTTTCAACACATCCCAGCTGATCGGCAAAGAGCTGAAGAATGGGTATCGAATCTGCGCTTCCTGGATATATCCGGAGTACCGGATCTACAGGCAGAGAAGCAGAAACAAGACCACCGCTACGCACTAGCTAAGGCTCGCGATTATCTCCACGATCGAAAGATACCATCGCGCGAAATCCCCATTACGAAGTGTGAAGACGACGACGGCGGAGACGATTACATTGCTGTCTCGTGGAAATGGGCTGAGCTCAAACACGAGGTTCTCTACGATGAGCCTAAGCCAACTGTATACGACTATCGCATCAGGAGACCGGGTGCGAAGCCGCACAAAATTGACTTTCCAGACCGCTACATGGATCGGGTGATCCGGTTTGCGCAGAGTATAAACGTGTCCAAAGTATGGATCGATAGGGAGTGCATATATCAGAGACCGGGAGACGAAAGATTGTGGCCAGAAGACAGGGAACTGGGTGTTCAGATCATGGACGTAGTCTATGGCGACAGCACAGTCTCGGTCGGGCTACTCACCGTGGAGCTTGCACATCAACGCGAAGTTGATCTTCTATCAGAGCTACTACAAGGCCGCCTTTTCGTCGACCCGGACATGAGAGAGAACCCAAAGTTGAGACCGGAAGTCGACGTTCTGGCAGTACAGATGCTTATTCTCCGCATTCTTAGCGACCCTCGCTGGGATCGTGGCTGGATATTCCAAGAAGATCACTTGGCTTCAAACAGGATGACGTTGCTCATACCGTGTTCTGAAGATATTCAAAAAGATCGAGGCTATGATTTTGGTGACATCCCTGGAGAATTGAAGATGAACCTGAAGGATCTCCGACAGAATGCGACAATGTTATGCTTGGCGGCTCGGCCTGAGGAACGACAGGAACGGTGGCAATGGCCTCACACTGACATACTCAAAAAGCTCAAACAATACAATATCTTCAACAGGAGCTATGTACCATTTCAGGACGGACATCTGCCTCCCTGGAGCAATGGCATTCACGGTGCTACTGGTAATGACAAGACGCACCAGCACGGAAGCCGCCGCGAGGTTCCAGCGTACCGAACGACTACGAACTGTGTGCTGGACGACATTTGCAGCCGCTCGTTGGAGAACGAGGAGGATAGGATCGCTATCCTCGCAAACGCTCTAAAATTTACCAACCGCATAAACATCGCGAAAGGATCTCCCATACATGAGCCCGGCAGATACAGCCTTTCTGTAGCCCTACTCGCACTTATACTGATGAATGGGGAGATATTACAGAGTACGGTATGGGAACCACCTGACTATGCGCGTCTTCCCAACGAAAGTAGTCTGATGCGGTACACCTTACAGTCGTATCTGGCAGCATGTCAACACCAATTTACTATCCCCAACCTGAAGTTCCAGCAGAGTTTCGTCGACCGCTGTCGTTTCAAGCCCCCAACCATTACGTCTCGTGGTCTTGAGACAAAAGGCTATCTGTTCGAACTATTCCCTAATGAGCGATCAAGAATACGGACAGACCCGCTCAGCCTCTGTCTCACAGATTCGGATCGAGAAGCTCTATCTGATCTAGGCCGAGGTCCGGTGCTTCGAGGTGCGAAGCTCGGAAAGGATGCACATACAGCACTGAGTGCACTGATTCAGAAGTTGGAGGCCTTGTGGCCAGCAAGTCAGCTCGTCGGTTACATGAGTCGACATCTATCGCTCGATGGACATCCTTCGCGACCAAACATACCACCGTCTGCACCGTACGTACTTGACATGATGTTCGAACTCTATCAAGCTCTTCGTGATGACCGAGAGCTCCGTTTGGCGCGCTTGGCTTCAGCGCCTCCAAATACAGAGCCCACCGCCATCTTCGTTAAGCCGGAACCGGGTGGTTGGATGACGGAGCAGGCACCCCATTTCGATTCTGACAAGGCACCTTGCCCTGCAAAGGTTTTCACGAGCTGGGACCAGGCACGTAACACCTACGACAAAGAACGATTAGCAATCTTGGAAGTCGGCGTAGGCTCCGATGAGGGGATACGAGAGGCGTGTGACAAGCGGAATCGCTTGCTGCATAGCGCTAGATGGGTGAACGGAGTGTGGTGTGCGGGAGGCAAGGCAATGGAAACATGTGTCTTCCCTCTCGCGGGCATAACTGAAGAACGGCGTCAGGTGAAATCTGTAGCAGGCGACGGGAGAAGGAAGAGGAAGAGGGGAGACGGCATCTAGTACATGCGATCTATCTCTTCGAATGCTTGACAGTATATGAAGTTCCGGCTTTGCGATACCTCAAGCTTTGTTCATCGTTTCCTTTACGATAATGCAAACAAGAAGCAAACCCGACGCATCATCACTTTCTTCACGACCCTCCAAGAACCAACACCGGTCATTTAACCAAAGCATGTCTTCCCAGACTAAGAAACTCGTCCTGAAATTCACTCTTACCCCGCTTACATACCTGTTCACTCGCATCAACTCGGTCTTTCAATCGCAGCGCAGGGCATGGAAAGACTTCGCCGAAAATGCTCCGGATCCTGCTCTTGTAAAACTGATCAATGGCCCCATGGAGGATACTGGAAGACTGCTGAACATGACACAAAACTTTCTGCGAAAGCTCATCGACTTGGCAGAGATCAAACTGAAGCAGGTAGAAACGGAAGCACAAATAGCCGGTGCAGAATGGCTCGACAACCCGACCGATCCTATGAACAACGCCAGATTCCTCATGGCGAGAAAGGCTCATAGCGCCTACTTCAAGCATATGAGGGAGGCTTGGGATGTTGGATTAAAAATAATTCCTGGAATACAGGCGAGATTTGACGATATGGAGGACACGCTCGAGAAGCTCGCTGTGCTCATACCAATCGAGGAGCTGGCGCGGCCACTTGAGCCGTTCGTAGTCAAGGGATTAGAGGTCAACGATAGGTTGTGGGTGTTTGCAATAAGGTTATTGGGCATCTTGCGGACGGTTGATATCCCCCTCGGTGTCGCGACTGTAGCTGTCAACGTCGAAAAGTACCCAGAAGCGGACAAACTTGCGCGAGTAAGATACAAATTTGGGGATTACTGAGTGTCAGGATGAGGAAGTGTCTGGTGCTTAAGAAAGAGCACTTTAGTTCGTTGTGAAGGTCTTAGATCTGGGTGTTGAATTCGTAACATCGTGGGCACTGATGAAGCCCGCTAGGTCGCTTGCGCTGTCTAGTCTATAAATCGCTCTGGTCTATGCCCATCCAATTCTATAAAGATTATATCCACTCTCGTCACCGCGTCCAATACCCCGTCTCTTTTCTACAAATTCTCTTTCAAGGATCTTGAACGTCAACCCGCTGTCGCTCTTGACACAGAACTCCGGTTCAAAAGCGGCTTCGACAGTATCAGGAATGCCTTCAAATTTGCCCGTCTTGCGCACTGTGACCATAAGCCAGAATACACCGTTCTGAGCCAGGAGATGCGCCGCACAATCACGTAACCAGGCGGCATGTTCGGGAGCGTAGACTACGTCCGAGGCGATGAGAAGATCTGATGCTGATTTCATGTGTGCGGGAGGTTGGGCCCAGTCCAGTATTGCAGTCTCTACAGGTGATGTGTCGTATGAGCTCGAAGGAAAATTTGTCTCGATGTTTGCGTTGCAGTTCTCCAGAACCGCAGGATGATAGTCGGTCGCCGTGATGCTGACGGGTCCAGCGCCGACCACAGGAAGTAATTTCGCAACTGCTAAGCTGACGAGTCCAGTGCCTGCACCGAGCTCGATGATTGTCTGCTTCCCTGCAAGACTGTCTTCAGTCAGTCCAAAGCGCTCTGGCTCGGCGCACATCATGCTACTGAGTACGATGCTGGCACCCCAGGACTGAAGTCCGACAGCTGTATGATCCGTCCTCGACAGTGGCGCATCATTTAGCGTGACCTTGACTGAATCTCCAGAGGATGTGGGGAAGCAGAAGTCTCGTGTCAGCGCCTCTTCCTCTTCATCGGCATTCTCGAATAGGGTTGAAAGAATGAAGCCGGCATCATCGACAAGCTTTTCTCGTACATCGTCATCGACTTCCATCTCTTCCGAGCGCGCGAGGAGCGAGTTTAGCCATTGGGTGGCAAAAGTGCGCTCGAATGGGTCTGCACGCAGAGCTGCTGTCACCTCTTCGGTTGTGACTTGGTTCTCATCATCTTCGCCTTCGTCTTGAGACGCGTAACCGGAATCCGCGGGTCCAGGGGGTGAGACGATGGATGTGTGCTCTCTTTTCGATGTCGGGTGTGAGATAGTAGTTGGAAGGCGTACAGGACAGTACAGCGTCTGCAGGTTCTTAAGAGCGGCGAAGATCTGATCCTCCGATGCCGACAGTAGCGAACGGATAGGTGGTAAACTGCTTGATGGTGGCAGACAACTGCCTGTAAGACTGACACTCATCTGACGCCTCGCTAACAAATGAACCGGCCAAGGAACGCGCACAGGGAAAAGGAATGTGGAGAGAAGAAGGAAAGAACTGGAGAAGACGTGGAGACAAGGGTTCAGTCAAAAAAATCAATCGGCCAAGGCAAGGGACAATTTGACGATACTTAGTTTAGCCTCACGCTCGGGCAAAGTCGTGACTTCTAGATCTTTTCACCGCCTGTCATTTGGCATCGTGGGCGTATGTTTGGATCCAAAAGGCAGGTGCACAAGAAGAGCTTGCTTCGTCGGGTTTGCACATTGCATACTAAAATCGTAGTACCCGTCACACTCGACATGTACAAGACGACTTGCGGCACTGTGAATGGGCCAGCCGGTACATCTAGGGGTAGCGATTTTTGCGTGGGATGGCTATTGCCACGTGGGTCGCTAAGCCGAGCCTCATCGACGCTAGACCACGGAAGGCATAGCTACCAGATCCAATGGTCAGAGACCCATCCTAGAAAACTTCGGTCAACACCGGCAAATACGAAATGTGCCGACGGAAATAGCCTTGAAACATCTTGGTATACTCTATCAGGAATCTCGCGCAACACGTCGATTGTAGCACTAGTGGCTTGGAACCGCCTTGTGGGCTAATGCCCAGGCTGCTCAGTCTCCGGCTACGCGGCCTTTACGATCGTGTTCTTTAGGTAGACAGCGATGGACAATCCTGCTCTCTTCCGATTACAACTCATTTCTGCACCATCTTCTCATCCATAGCCTCCGGAGGTGTATCCGTGCCCTCACCCTCCACAACCATCGGCCCCTTACCCGGCTTCTTCCTCCCCGTGATGTCCATGTATATCGACTTGAATGTCCTGACACTTGTTTTTCTCCCCTCCCAAAGCGGATATAGCCCTACTGCGAAGCATGAGCAGAACATCCACAAAATGCCCACAACAACCCATCCAGTGAAGAACTTCTTGCTGAAAATATACGAAGAACCGTACATGGGCATGGGCCACAGCACGAGGAAAGATATCGCCATGAAGAGCGTGAGCCAGCGCGCAATACGCGATGCTTTGAGTAATTTGGCTTGTTCCTCTTCATCAGCTTCGATAGCTCGTCGTTGTTCACCGGGTATCCGTTCTAGATCGACGTTCGCGGCAAGAGCAAGGTCGTGGTCGTCGCCTCTGCGGATAGCCTTCATGCTCTGCCAATCGTAATTCTGGGGTCCAAAAGCGTACGTGAAGACGGGAATGAATACAATGGGAGAGAGGAGGGCGACAACGTTTCCTGCTAGCATAGGGTTGTTGGCGCCGGTAGTGAGCACAGTGAGTTCGCCGCTCTCTTTCTGGGCGGTGACGAGCCAAGCGATGAGGGAACAGGCGAAGCCGAGAGGTGGTGTGAAGGTTGCTGCGACCCAGTTCATCTTTGACCACATCAGCGTTAAAGTGGCGGGCAGGACAGCGGAAGAGATTATGACACCCATGAGGAGATATAGGTAGCCCATGCTGATGCCGATGTAGTAAAGCCCTGTACTCCAGGCTGCCATTGCGACAGCGAAGCCGACAACCATGGTGTGAGACATGTAGATGAGTTGTTTCCCTGTAGCTTTAGGGTTGACGTAGGTCTATATCTCGTCAGCTTACTGACCCGCTTTCGTGATCAGTACGGCCATGCTTACCTGGTAGAAGTCATAAGTGAAAATGGAAGAAACAGCAATTAGCTCAGCAGACATGGCGCTGGTCACAGCCATGAATACGAGAAGCAGTACTGCAGCCGCTCCTCCCGAACCCATCAGGGCAACAGCGGCCGTGGGCAACACAAGCCCAGCCGTCACATCAGCGTCAGCCATGCGGTTAGGATAGCCAGGGAAAACAGGGTTGTTTTCTAGTGCAATCGCACTGAGACCCATTGTGGTAGCGGCTAGCCATGGAATCGCGAACCAGGACAGACCACCAATGATATATCCGGGAAGAGCATCGACGGGACTGGCAGCGATGGCTTTGTTGTAGTATCCGTTGTCGCAGAACACAGTACCGAAGTTGCCCACGATATTAATCACAAAGAAGATTGCACCTTCTTTGGATCGCATGGTTAGGTAAGAGCCTCCAGCATTTCCTTCGACTGGGTGATCCGTTGCGGCTTGTACCAGTAGATCGAAGACTTTCCCAGGGCTTCCGAGATTCTCGTTGGTCGCATATGCGGTGAAGGCAAACATCAAGAGAATGATCAGAATGACAACAGTGTGTGCTAGAGGTAATCTTAGAGAGTTTTTGCTGCAAATGCAGAAGGAAGTAACTTACCGTAGTCAGTCAAGAAGGTGGCCTTGATGCCTCCAAACATGGTGTATAGTACTACACCGACTGGTAACAAGAAGCAAGCAGCAGCAGTCGGCATGCCGGTGAGCTTGGTTAGGTTAGTACAGATATATCATTCGCCGCGTTTGACGTACCGAAGTCACAACAGCGGAGCCTCCAGTCAACAACATCGAAGTGACAAGGATGTTGGTAAAGAGACCAAAGACCATAAAAACGACGTGCGTGACTGGACCGTATCTGGCTCGAATAACCTCAAGGAAGGTATGTGCATTAGGCGCTCTTCGTTTCAGCTCGATAGCAATCGTTGCAAATAAGATGATCTGCACAGTCGCTCCCGAGGCGTACCAGAAAGGGCCAGATACTCCATATCGGTAGGCGACTGCGCTCGATTGGAGAAGTGTTGCCGCCCATGTCCAAGATGATACTACGGCTGACGCAACGAGTCCCGATTTCACTGTACGACCAGCTGTCGAGAACATCTCAGAGGTTTGGAGTTCATAGTTGTATCTCTTCAGCACGAATGTCGTCAAGATCATACCGAAGCTTTGCCGAGTTAGTAATGTCCATGTATGGGAGACGTAAGACCTACGAGAAGGCAAAGCCTAAACCGATCACAATGCCATAGCCAAAGCCTTGGCTTAGCGGCGGAGGTGTACTCATGCTGGGTGAGTTAAAGACACCTCAGGTGACGAGCAGTTGGTAAGTGGAAAGCGCGATGCCAGAGGGATGCCGGAAGTTGAAATATACTTAACTTTACTGCTTAGCTTCGCTTGGGAGATTTCGCAGAAAGCTTCGGTCATGATCTGCCGGCATACGACCTCTAGGAGAGGGCTTTAACCATGATAAAGCAAGAACATCACCGTTCATCGGCCGGACGCATAAGGCAGGTATAGCCAATCGTAGGGCTAGCGTGCATATTCGCGGATAATTATTAAGGTGACAACGATCACAGCACGACATCTGCATGGTTCTGCAGGCTTTCGTGGGGTTGGGCAACAGGAGGATGCACACCATGTGCGGAAACGATCTTCCAACCCCGGTATGGTCCGATAACGCAGCGGAACAATGTAGATAAGATGTTAACTTTTGTGTGGCAGCTTTTACTCACAGCTAAACTGCAACCAATCGCAGGCCTGCACGGCTTTGAGATCGTTGGGTTCAGGCAGCTGCTCGTGGCTGTCAAAACGCGGCTGTATATCGCGTCGTTGAATGCATTGCATTGCGAGAGGTAAACGCTGACGATTTCGCAGCCTCTCAGCCATGAACGTCGAAAGTACCGAGACGAAGGGTTGAAAACTCGATGGCAAGATGCAGGAAAGCCGTTGGAACACGGAAAAAGCGTTCGTCCAGCGTCTCTTCCGTCAAGCTTCCAGCGGCAATCTTAGCAGGCTCGCTTAGTTGCCAGTCGCGACGCGTCATTGGTTGTTCAGCATCTCTTATCTTTCTGGCGGGATTGGCAGCCCCAGATGCCACATCGCGTTGGGATCACGCCGTCAGCGGGGACCATCGAATGCATTCGGTCTGTGCGGGTCGGCGGGCGTTCGATTTTGCTTTCCAACGGTGTGGCATAACACCTGTTAGCATTCTTGTGTGCGGAACGTACCCTTCCCTTCACCGTGTCGCTAATGCATTGTATATCTGGCTGAGCATGTGTTGTGCGACCAGCCTATACTTGGACTTTGAGAAGGAGCGAGCGTCACGGTATCGCAGGCGGTCTTTCCTTTGACACAACTAGCTCGGGCTTGGCGGAGCAGGAGCAAACATCAACACCGTAAACCTCGACCTTGCATCGTCGCACCTTGCGGGTCGAGGTAATGAGATCGATTGTATCAATTAGCCTCACGCGAACATTGATCTAAGAGCTCGTGGTTGCTTGAAGTACACGAACTCTGTTTTGGCCTCAGCACGTGCCCAGGAACAGCTGCGCAAGTGCAGTGTAAACACCAGGACCAAATCCGATCCTACTCCGAACGATGAGCAGGGAATAGCGAAATGTTTTGAATGTTGTAACTTTGCAAGGACGAAGCCTCCCCATAGTTGCAATTCTGTCCTGATTTCGTCACGAAACATCACAGCTTGACCCATCCCGAAGCTTGAGCATAGGAAACTGTGAAGATATCATTATTCCCACGATACTATTAGTCGCCAATACGCCGCAAAGGCTGAACCGTATCGCAAGCGAGATTGATTTGTTGCTCATGTTGGAGAGACTACCGTTCTTGGAGACGCTAACCCGATTGAGGCAACATGTCGTGAGTAAAAGGGCGACGCCAAGGTCGAGCCTGTGTCCAAGGGCGGAGTGCATAAACCATCTCGTGTCCACGTTTAAAGTCGTCCCAAGGTCGTCACATCTCACGGTCAGAGTTTTGAGAAAGAGGTTTGAAGTGAGAGTATTGATTCTTCATCAAATCCATGTACTACTGTGGGTATCTCGTACACCAAAATTGGCTAAACATAATATTTTAGGACCACCAAACAGCGACTCCTCAGCAATGCAACATTTCATACATTTCCAGCTCCGGGTCTACGAGCCTGAGCTGAAGTTGGATCCGTCTAGAACGACAAGACCTGCGACCGTCGCACTGGACAGAGTGGAGAAAACACCTGTAATGAGAGCGGACATTGCGAGACGCGATACGTCACCGCTGCGGCCAGGACTAATCTGACTGAGCACACCAATTTGTGTACCCAAGGAACCGATGTTGCCGAAAC